GCTCCCAGCCTTGTTTTCTCCACACGCATTCCGTCATTATTTCCTTCCAGATGATGGAGATCCGTCACTGAGGTCATGATTGGATTCCTTAGTGGGGGTAGAAGATGATGGCTGAACTTCCAAGGTTGTTCTCCCAGTTATCACAGCTTCGGATTGGTTACGTTGAAAAATAATTGATATCCGCACACCCCTTTTTATTTGCGGCACCACCTTAAGCCTTTTTAGGATTAGCAACGTTAGCCCCCACTCCCACGTGACTAAATATCTAACATAAAGTGGGGCTCTTCACAGGGGTCCGGCACCGCCCTTTGATTCTGCCGGTGCCGGTACTGCCGGTCTTAAAATAGCATATCTTTTATCAAATTTTTTCCATCAAATTCAACAATATTTGAAAAAAGCAAGACTGGGATATGATTTATCGTCATTTCTATCATTTCTACACATATGTTTTACTGGGGACAAATCTTGAGATAGGTCTTTTTTCTTCAATATTCCGCAGATCGGAGAGCGCACTAGTGTATCTATGGTAGGCGGTCAGTAGGCGGCGTGTGGCCCCCACATAACCCACTATGCGCTGTATAAGGGGAAGATTATATCGAATTACATGGTTAGCCAAGAGGCGCTAACTCGAAACTGGTTTAAACAGGTGTGCCACTAAGAAAAAGGGGTTGTGCCGCGATCAACTCGCGTGTCGATAATCAATTCCCGCAACCCCAATGCAACACGCTCATTTTCAAAACTCTCGTTTTCAGATTCAGATGGCCAGTCTGCCCTCAATTTTGGCATTTATATAGTGGTATCGATCTTTTCTTTTGAGGGCCTTTTTTTCATGATGACCACAGTGCATGGTTCCAACGATAATAACCTGCATGACATCAATCCTTTCGCTGAAAGCTCAACAAGTGACGAGCATGACGCCCTGAATACTTCCTTTGAATCCGACCCTAGGTCAAGTGGTTCCTATCCTTGTCAATATGAAATGAGCAGTGAGTCCTGTGCCCTCCAATTCCTCTGGCCAAAGCTGATATCAACTTCTTATCGTTATCAAGGACAAGCCGAGCTGGCCTCTGCGAACTCAGGCTCAGACAAAAACGACATCTTCCATAAAGTGAAGAACTTTCTTCGAAAAGACAAAGCACCGACTCCCGATGACGACGGCTTGGCTGGTTGGCCCCACCACGGCAGACCCTGCAATTCGATATCCATATTCAGACAACAGACAAGACAGATTCTCAACCCCAGAATCATCTTCTCAGGTGCATTCGCCGCATCGGCAATCATTATCTCCGAAACCAAAAGCCCAGCGCTTGTAATATTCATCTGGAACCTCCTTGCTATTGTGCCGCTGTCGATCACGCTCACAGAAGCCACTGAGAGGATCTCTAAGGATTTGGGTGAGACCGCTGGCGCTCTCCTCAACATCACTATAGGCAATCTAGCGGAGCTTATTATTTTGTGAGTGCCAACCTTAGAAGTACCATAGTTTCTCATCAATATATACTGACTAGCATATAGCGTGTAAGTTTGCATATAGCAATCAAATTGACTGCCTTGGGGCCGAGTCGAAACTAATCTTCTATAGCACTGCTTTGTTGAAAAACAACATTAAAGTAGTCCAATCATCACTCCTTGGCTCCATCCTTGTGAACCTCCTCCTCGTTCTCGGGTCTGCGATCATCGCAGGCTGTATCTCTAAGAGTGATGTGACTTATAACACCGATCTCACACACTCATTTGTGGGACTTCTCAATCTCACAATCTCTTGTCTTATGATTCCAGTAAGGCAATATTTCAAGTGTCCTAATTACATTGGATGCTAACCTTGAACTTAGAGTGCTTTCTATGGCAGCGTGAAGAGCGTCTCTTCTGCTGATCATATGTCATTATCCTTCAGCAGGGGGGTGTCCATCATCCTCCTCGGCACATACTTCTTATACCTTTTCTTCCAGTTCAAATCACACGCTCACTTGTTCCTCTCTACACGGCTTCAAGTGCCACCGTCAACCGATGATCATGAATATACAGACCTCGAATCGCATCCCACCGTGCTTGCAAGCGCAACGAGCAGAGACCTTCCTCATCTAGAGATGCAAGAGGTGCGATCACGGTCATGTTCAGTCGACGCACTGACCGCATCAGCAATGCCACTGTTTCACAATGAGCCATCCGAAGGAAGACCCAGCCTCAACAGACAAACGCAACCCCCTCTCGGAGACATTCTCGGATGTTCCTGCGAACGTTATGCTAAAACGTCCAGCCGAATGATATCCGTAACACTCCTCGCTCTATCAACAATTCTCATCGCTATATGCGCCGAATTCTTCGCCTCGAGCTTCTCAACACTCAATGAACAGGGCGTCCTTGGTGAATCATTCGTCGGCTTGATTATCATCCCCATCGCCGGAAATGTTGCCGAAAACGTTACTGCGGTTGTTGTGGCCTCAAAAAACCAAATGGATCTGGCCATCAGTGTTGCTCTTGGATCAGCCATTCAAATTGGTCTCTTGGTTTCACCTGCAATGGTTCTGATTGGCTGGGCTCTCGACAAGCCCATGACCTTGCACTTTGATAAATTCGAGATGGTCACACTGATTGGGGCTGTTATTATGGTCGATTTCATCGTTCTCAAAGGAAAGACCAATTATATGGAGGGGGCTATCTTATGTGCCTGCTTTGCGGCTATTTCGTATGTGCACTCCGTCTATTCTTTGAAGATGTAATTGCTAATATTCTCGATATAGTGTTGGCGCATACTTGTTGCCGCTCGCTTGAGACACGTGTCTCGAGGGTGTTGATCCATGGACGGTAGGACGATCTGTCTAAACCTGGGCCTGCCGATTCTTGCCGTATGTCCATCGATATTTTTGTTATTATTCAATGTAAATAGGAATTGTAGATATAACCTTGAAACCGAAATCAAAATTCTTTTCACCTTAATATGGCTGGGCTGATCGCCTTCGTGTTCCGGAAATCCAAGCCGAAGCCACCCGTTGCAGAAGGAAACGCCATTCGGGAAGTGGATATCAGTTTATGAAACAACTGCTTGGTTCTGCCTGAATGATAGCTGCTCTAGCTTCTCGACTTTCAATCCCGGGTCGTTTTGGGTTGTCGACATTGTCGCACGACTGCCGCCAAGCTCATTCGAAACAGGATTGCAATATATGAGAGCCCACAGAGAGAACTTTCCAACTTACCCCGCGTTACCATACCATTTCAGTTAAATTGTCATTTTCTCGAATCGGCGATAGACTCACCCGGTTAGTAACCTGCAATGAGGCTTCCAGGCCATCCCAATGGCAAGTCACATGGGGACAAGATGTAGCTTCGGCAAAGACCATCTCCGCGGTGGATATGGAGCAACATCACTAAATTCACTACAACATACATCGTATGATGTACATGATACCAGATATGCTACTTCGATACTCCTTCAATGTAGACCCGGGAGAATCGGTTACCCGTATTTGCCGAGCCCATCCGACATAGGGGCTTGCTGTGTTTCCAATATTTCGATTACAAACTGTTCAGAGTGGAGAAGAAAGATAGAAAAGCATTGAGGGCCCACGAAAGTTCCTAAACACAGAAATTACTTCAAATTCGGACCCACGGGTTTGATTCGAGATCAAAATGTTGACATCTTCGCTGCTTCTGCTTGCCTCATTTGGCAGCTTCGTCCAGTCCGCTACCTTGGAGGAGCTCTATCTCCAAAATGCGCCCTCTTCCCCACGCCCCTATGTCATTCCGCATTACGCAAACTCGCATGCCGTCACCGTTGGAGATCAGCTGTACCGCTTCACAGTGACTGGCCCTTCTTCGGATAATGCGTTCACTCTGATGAGCACCAATGCGCCTTCCAGCGGAGCACTAGGTGTGTTGCCGCACATGCACCAGAAGCATACTGAAAATTTCTTCAATCTCAAGGGCCGGTTCCAGCTCTGGGCGGAGAAGGGCAAAGAGGAGCAACAAGCTCGCCTGTTGACAGCGGGTGATTATGGGTCGGTCCCCAGAAACACGACCCACACCTTCCAGATCTTGGACCCTGACACCGAGATGGTTGGCATCATTGTTCCTGGCGGCTTTGAGTAAGTTTGCATATACCGAATTCGTTTAAATTCGTTTAGACTTGACTAACCTGTGAAGGGAACTCTTCTATGCCATTGGAACCAACTATACTTCGGCCACCGATACCCCCTTTGTTCCCGCTGTTTCCAACGACTCTTCGACACCCGACCCTGGCATGATGTCTGCTTTGCAGAAGTTCGACGTCTACACCCAGCTTGACTTCGACCCCCGTCGTGATCTGGTCAACGGCAGCGCTCCTGATGATTCGAAGTGGCACACCGGCGATAATGCTATCCGTGTTTCTGGCAAGCCATATTTTGTTGCGAGTGGATACGGACCCAAGTACCTCAGCTCCAAGTATGGGTACCAGGTGATCCAGCCGCTGGTCACTAAGCAGTCCCAGGATGCCGATTACACTCTTTCTACCATCTCACTGAGCCGCCAGACTAAGGACAATGCGCTCACGTATATACTGTCTGGAGCTGCTGCTTTTGAGGTGGTGGAGGGGGTGCTCATGATTCAGATCGGAGATTATCCTATAGCGACCTTGTACACTGGCGATGTGGCTTTCATTCCAGTTGATGTAGCTTTCACGTATCATACCGAAGTGGCCTTCACCAAGGTGCTGTATGTTAGTAGCGGTAGCAATGGTGTGGATTCGCAGTTGATCAGGGGTGGGAAGAAGTGGAACTTCGCTACTTTCCCGAGATACTGAGTGATGCAGGGGTAGCGCCTTTGTTATGCTTATAATTGAGAGTTTTATAAAATGTAGTGTAAGACGCCAAGGGAAGATTCCCTTCTGATCTGTGCATTTCTTTACATTCTGACTCACACTTGAGGAAATATCATAAACTCAGCATTGACCTAGCTATCCCTGTCGACCCCACTATATACCAAAGTTATCCCTCGACAACCAACTCAAAAGCAACACCCCCAAAATGTCTACCCCAACACCTCTAGTCTTGGAGCTCGTCACTCTCAAAGACCTCCCCGCCATTACAGAGCTATGGTTCACCGTATTCAGCGATCCCGGCATGCGCAGGCTATTCCCAGACACGCCAGGGACCCGCGAATGGTTCACTGAAGCCAACCGCATGGACATGCTCACGAAGCCATATCAAAAATACATCAAAATCATCGATCCCGACACCAAAGACGCGCAAGGGCAAGCACGGATAGTCGCATACGCAAAATGGGACCTGGCCATGCCCGACGAGCGCGGGGCTAGGTTCCCGCCTTGGCACGGGGACATGCCTGGTCGGGATTGTGATACTTTCTTTGGGGGGTTGGAGAAAGAGCGCAAGCGTGTGATGGGCGATCGGAAGCATTACTGTAAGTCTGATTTTTGAATAGTCGCGACCTGCTGTGTGATTGTACCTTTTGTTGACGCCCTGGATAGACCTTGATATGCTCGGTACGCATCCCGACTACCGCTGTCGCGGGGCCGGCTCTATGCTTGTTCGCTGGGGATGCGAAATTGCGGATCGTGAGGTCGTTGGAGCGTATATCGATGCTAGTAAGGCTGGTGTCCCACTGTACGCGAAACATGGGTTTGTGGATCGCAGTGACCCTGGACCGAGTGAGGTGGTTCCGATGGCTAGAGGATAGATCTGCTATGTCATCGGCCGAGTATACTCTAAGAGGTATGACAACCGATTGACATACTCCAAGGAGTTACAGCTGTTTGAATTACAGACAAAAGGAGTCAAAATGAAACATTGACTTTTTTTCCCCCCAAACGTGGCTCTATATTCCCCTTTCGCGCGGTGAATCCAATGATATGATGCCTCCGTTCATTCAACAGCTTGGTAGTTCTGGATTCGAAAACGAAGTATTCAATCCCAAAAAAAAAAAAACATACTTCGACCCCTCACGATTCTGGGCATACTCCGTACTCCGTAGTCACCGGCCGAAAGCTCTATCACACCCATATCACATCAAAAATAGCTCTTTCGGTAACCATTACGCAAAGATCGCAACTGCCAAGATCACAAAGGACGATTTTTATCTCCTTCCAGAGTGGGTTAAGTTATTTTCCCTCGCCAAGCAACTCGGTTTGTCCCATCCCCGTCCAGCAATAAGCCATGGGCACATGGGTGATATATCTCATGGACATGCCAATATCTAAAATTAACTATGTCGTGTCGCCTCGGAGGATACAAGATCTTGGCTATCAACACAAACGGCTTATCACGGATGATCCCAAGTGAATTGCGGAGTTCTAAAAATGGTAGAGATGTGCGTCGACAGGGATCAGGTGCAGAAGCTGGCCTTGGTAATCTGCACCGCGGTCTAATCCCTGTTGATTTTCCAGGTCCCCAATTTCGAGTGCTGGACTACAATGTACAACATACAAGGTGAGTATAGAGTACTCCGTACCTGGCCATTTAGTGTTATAGGAAATTAATTCAACGTGAGACATGATTTCCTGACGCTAGGGTGGAGATCCCCTACATCAAAGTCCAAACAGACGTTAAGTGGCTTTTTCCCGGATGTAACTCACCAATTACCAAGCATCGTGGCCTCGACCAATGTCGCCTCTGACGCTTAATCAACGCCAAGACATCCCCTGCACTACCCCCTTCACACTACTTTGTTTACTTGGGGTTCATCCGACCATTCCGATTCAAATCCGAAATCGCCAAGATTTTCACCAGTCTGCTTACGCCTTTTACTCTGCTTTCTATCTAGCGGCCGACATGATGACCCCGATACTGATACCCTATGAGCTAATACACCAGTATTCCCATTGAGCTAACGGTCATTTCGGAGCAAAGCATGCATATTGTCTCTGTTCTCCTTGGCTCGTGGAGACGGTCAACAGCTGCCCCACTATGTGCGACAGATGATTCGATCTCACACTGTTGGTCTCGGCCGTTGCGCTGAAATAATCAACCGGTTCCTGGTTGGAGAATGGCCAGCCCATGCCTGATAAATAGTACCTGGATTATGCGTCATCCCATTCTTATGGAGCTTCCTATTGGCTCTCTCCATAAAGTCGCACTAGGCAGTTTTGATTCCCTGTTCGGGTTCGCATTTGAATCGTAGTATAAAGTGAGCCCCGAGTCTTTCACCTTTTGATGTTTGAACCTTGCGCAATTTAACTGAGGTTGATCTTTCTATCACCAGTTATATTATTTAACTGCTGTAATGCACGTGCTTGCCCTCGTTACGAGCCTTGTTGGCATTGCCAATGCTGCCTGTCCTTATATGACTGGTGAGGCTGGCGACAATCCTCACATCGAGCGCCGAGGTGACGGAGATGCTGCTGGCAACACGGAAGAATTTCTCTCCCAATTCTACCTCAAGGACCAAGACGTCTATCTGACCTCTGATGTCGGCGGCCCGATTGAGGATCAAAACAGTCTCAGCGCAGGAGAGCGTGGAGCGACCCTGCTCGAGGATTTCATTTTCCGTCAGAAGATCCAACGCTTCGATCATGAACGAGTATGTTTTCCACATTTTAATTGAAGGTCTAAAGCTCATATACGTTTTCCAAGGTACCGGAACGCGCCGTTCACGCTCGAGGCGCCGGCGCCCACGGAACATTCACCTCCTACGGCGACTGGTCCAACATAACTGCCGCGTCTTTCCTTTCCGCCAAAGGCAAAGAAACCCCCATGTTCACGCGCTTCTCCACCGTTGCTGGTAGTCGCGGAAGCGCCGATACCGCGCGAGACGTCCACGGCTTTGCGACTCGCTTCTATACTGACGAAGGAAACTTTGGTTCGGCAGATCCCTCTTAATAAACAAAGAATACAACTGATTTGGATCTAGATATTGTTGGAAACAACATCCCCGTTTTCTTTATCCAGGATGCCATCCTGTTCCCCGATCTCATTCACGCCGTCAAGCCCCGCGGCGACAACGAGATCCCCCAGGCTGCTACCGCGCACGACTCGGCTTGGGACTTCTTCAGTCAGCAGCCCAGTACACTTCACACCCTTCTTTGGGCAATGGCTGGCCACGGTATTCCTCGGTCGTTCCGACATGTTGATGGATTCGGTGTGCACACTTTCCGTCTGGTTACCGACGATGGAAATACCAAGCTTGTCAAATTCCACTGGAAGGGATTGCAGGGCAAGGCTAGCTTTGTGTGGGAGGAAGCGCAGCAGACCGCTGGTAAAAATGCGGACTTTATGCGTCAGGATCTTTTCGAATCTATTGAAGCTGGACGTTTCCCCGAATGGGAGGTATGTAATAACCGCACCTTCCTCGCAGTTCCTGCTAATTATTCCTTAGCTCGGTGTTCAAATCATGGAGGAGGAAGACCAGCTTCGATTTGGATTCGATCTTTTGGATCCTACCAAAATTGTCCCGGAAGAACTCGTGCCTGTCACGAAGCTGGGCAAGATGCAACTGAACCGAAACCCTTTGAACTACTTCGCTGAAACAGAGCAAGTCATGGTACGTTTCGACCCATCGTTACCAGCGCATAATGTTAATTTCATTTCTTAGTTCCAACCGGGTCATATCGTCCGCGGCGTCGACTTCACCGAAGACCCCCTCCTCCAGGGCCGTCTCTTCTCCTACCTCGACACCCAACTCAACCGCCACGGCGGTCCCAACTTCGAGCAGCTCCCTATCAACCGACCCCGCGTACCAATCCACAACAACAACCGCGACGGAGCAGGTACGTACCTACCACAATCCAATCCCACCCTCAAACCCCCCTTTCTAACAAACCCAGGCCAAATGTTCATCCCCCTAAACCCCAACGCCTACTCCCCCAACACAGAAAACAAAGGCTCCCCAAAACAAGCCAACCAAACCGTCGGCAAGGGCTTCTTTACAGCCCCAGATCGCAAAGCAAGCGGCAAGCTCCAACGCACCGTCAGCTCAACCTTCGAAGACGTCTGGTCTCAGCCACGACTATTCTGGAACTCGCTCGTAGCAGCCGAGAAGCAATTCATCGTCGATGCGATGCGATTCGAGACCTCAAATGTCAAGAGCAGCGTCGTCCGCAATAACGTAATCATCCAACTAAACCGCATCAGCAATGATCTCGCCACGCGCGTCGCAAAGGCTATTGGCGTTGATGCGCCGGAGCCAGACGATTCTTTCTACCACGATAACACGACCGCGCATATCGGTGCCTTCGGACAGAAACTCGCTAAGCTTGATGGGTTGAAGGTTGGACTTCTTGCATCTGTGGATAATCCTGCTTCTATTGCGCAGGGCGCGAAGTTGCAGTCTGCTTTGTCTTCTGCGGGAGTTGATGTCGTTGTCGTTGCGGAGAGAATGGCGGATGATGTTGATCAGACTTATTCTGCTTCTGACGCGGTGCAGTTTGATGCTGTTGTTGTTGCCGATGGGGCGGAGGGTCTGTTTGGATCCAAGTCTTTCACTACCGTGCCTAACAAGGCTTCCGGTGCGTCATCTTTGTATCCCGCTGGTCGGCCTTTGGATATTCTGATTGATGCTTTCCGGTTTGGGAAAACTGTTGGTGCGCTGGGTAAGGGCTCTGCTGCTCTAAAGTCTGGGCTCATTTCTGAGGACCGCGAGGGTGTGTATACTGCTAGCAGCACTGGTGATGCCTTTGCCAAGGATATTAAGGAGGGACTTCGGACCTTCAAGTTCTTGGATCGGTTTGCAATTGATGAGTAGGGGATTTCGATGTTATGACTGTATTTATGGCTATATCAAATTTAAATAGGTGCGATCTTCAACTTATCACAATTTACAATTCGAACTTCACACTTTAGAGCACATTCAATTTGTATAGGAAGAAGTGCTGGTAGAGAATCAGATAGAAATGAAGAATATTTACAACAGAGTCTCTTCGTTGGGTTCTTCGATGAAAACCAGAACTTCAGGGCAAATCAATCAGCCTCTAAAGCTAGAAAATAAATCTACCCACGCCGACGCATAAAGGCATCCCTATCTGATAGGGCTGCTGCAGCACGCAATCTCATCTTCTTATTGGCAGGTTTGGTGTCCGAAGGAACGCGAGTCTTTCCTTGTCCGAGAATAGCCCACTCGGCAACAGTCGCGCCAGTTCCATTCTTGGCCTCCACATCAACAGAATCAAGTGCTTGGTTTCCCACAATAAGCAGAGACGCATAGCGCGCTGCTGGCACGGGAGATGATAAAGTCACATTTGTTGTGTTTCCGGTAGGAATGGCAATAATATCAAGGTTTGTGGTCTCAGGATCGTATGGATTCGATTGAATGATGTTTGTCAGGCTGTGAACAACTTTGTAGTCGGAGGCTGGGGCGAAAAGTGCCATCGCAGGATCTTCCAGTGTCTTATTGTGGAAGATCACTGTGGCATTGACTGGGGGTGCATGCGCCCAATCGAAGTAGAAGCCCGATACCATAGCACCGGCCTCATCTTCCAAGGAGACCGTCACAGAGTTTACTTCGGCGGCCAGTGAGGGCTGCCATTTTGTCGAGGCTGCGCCGTCTACTGCCGAAATAGGAAATTGGCCAGGTTCAAAGGCATCCGAAGAGGAAACAGCCTGGCACTGTACGAGATTGCCTGTCACGGTGTTCTCTGTTCCACTCTGTCGGTTGGGAATGACAACAGAGCCTTTGAGAGGGAGATGATAAATGATGGCATCGACTTCTGGGCCAGAGTGAATGGTGATTGTTTTGTTGGCGAATCGCTGGTCAGCAGTCTCCAGTGGAGCAGTTCCTGTGGCATGGCTGATAGTCGTGTGTGTGTAGTTTGACCACGCCGAGATGGGCCATCCCCGCCAGTAGAAGGTACGATACTTCAGGTATGGAATCTGAGGAGGCAAATTCGGATCCACATGAAGGATATCATCTGCTACTAGTCGCAATCCAAGGTAGCCATAGATGGCAACCTGGTTAGAACCGCCGTGACCGGTCAGGAATGGATACGCTGGGTGCGTGCCTCCATTGATGGTAGCATCATCCACCATCTGCTCCGACAGTTGGAAAAACGGCGCGCGGGTATAAGGCTTATACGAGTACTGCCCATATGTGTATGCTGAGCAGCCAGAAGGCGACATTTCGTTTGCGACGACAGAAAAGATAGCCCAGGTCATGGCAGGGCCATCAGGAGACTGTTTGCCTGCGTACTGTATCTAGTTAGCTTTGGCGTTTTATTTTCTCGGCAGTCAATACTCACATAGTCCAGGTCATTCAGCGAATTTTGACTGGTGTAGTTGGCAGTATAACCCAGGGGATAGGTGACCATAACCACGTCAGCTTGCTTGACCACAGCGCTTCCATTCATGGTAGTGAACTCAAGAGTCACCTCGTTTTCACGAAGCACCAAGACATTGTCGGCCATTTGATCCCAAGTGGCATTTTCTTCGAGTCCAAATTGCTGACGAAAAGCGTTGGCATGTCGGAGAGTCTCGGCCATGAGCGGCATTGTGTAGCCACCTGCATCAACGTGGTTGGCATACTCATCCTACTTTATGTTAGTTTTGGATGCTGAAAGAAATGGGCACCAAACTTACAGGGTCGGTCATGTTGGTCAATGTCCAATAAGACCCGTTTCGAACCAGCAGGTCAGCATAGAGAGTAGCCGCCGAATCGTAGATCGGGAAATGTTCTTCTTTGAATAGCTTTGTATTACCACTTGTGACCCATTGGTTAACCAAGGAAATTCCGATGTCTCCGTTCAGGTGATACTGGTAGTCCCAGCAAGCGCCAGTGGCGGTACAGTTACCAAAACGGCCACTGGTCCAGGGGAAGATTGCAGCTGATGGACTGAAATGTGTTTGGTTCTGAGATCCAGTGAAAGCAGTTTTGATATTCTCTTGTGCTTGGGCGTATTTGGCGACTCGGAAATTGGTGAAGCGCTCGGATGCCTCTGGATGAGAGGCAACAAGACCAGGCTGCATCCATACATCTGAATCCCAGAAGACTTGGCCGCCATAGGAGTCAGAGGTTAAGCCACCAACTGAAATGCTGTCCACATTTACTGGTGCTCCCGCAGCTTCCTTGATTCCATTCTTGCCAACAGTATTCTGCAGCAAGTAGTAAGTGTTGGCCACAGAGATTACTGCAGAATCAATGATGTGGCTATCGGCAGGCAATGTCCCGTTGGGGAACGCGTAGTGGTCAACAGAAGCTTCGGGCATAACATTTTCCCACTCGGCGATGTGGGTTCGAAGAGACTTGGTGTAGCCATTGCTCATCGCGGCGGAGGCAGCCTCCTTGGCCGTTTGTTTTGGATCAGCAAAGGCATCCGTAGAGGCAGCTCCGACATATTTGATGACGCGAACTATCTGACCAGGCTTGAACTTCACATCCACGGCTTGCGCAATAGACGATTTGTTGGAGTGAACATATGGCTTGTCGGAGACAATCTTTCGCGAAGAGAGATCCACATTTGGTGACCCAGTGAGGTTTGCGTATACATAAGCTGTGACATTAGCAATCCCATTCGGTCGTACTGCCGAGAAGATTGCACCATTGTCTTCCCCGGCCTCCACAAAGTCGGTGCGCACTGCACAGGCTCCGTCGATGACATTAACGATGGTCGCATCCGACGCTGTGGTGGGGATAATTTCCATTTCGACCATAGCCTGATTGACGTACAGCTTGTGCGCGAGAAGTCGATAGGTAATCTGGTACGATCCTTTCTTGCCCCGAGGCGTCCATTTGTAAGACCAGACCAAGATGCCTGCTTTGAAGTCGTATGTGGTTCGGAAATTAGAGATGGTCTTATTGTCGACCTTGGCATCCAAATAGGTATCATCGCCAAGATCCAAGATGATTCCCGCCCAGTGAGGCACACCACTAATCACACTGTCATCTCCATACTGGGATAACCAGGGAAAGTTGCTGCCATTTGTGGTAGGCTGCGAGTCAAAGAACCCACTGACCGTTGCAAAGGTCTGGCGTCTGGAGAAAAGTGGCCAGCCGTTGGTGTCATGGGGACTATCAATCTCAAAGAAAGGACCCGCACTGGCAACATTGATACCCAAATATCCGTTCGCCACGGATCCTCGAGATTGAAAGCGGCCCTGTTCCAAGTTGGTTGTGCTCAGAAGCCACTTGTCTTCGTCCCAGGTCACGCCATCAAAGCCGGTCTGATACACATTCTTGCTGAAGCTCGTTGTCGAGTTGGAGCCTGTGTGTTCTCTAAGGCATCTTGCGGTACGACTTTCAGGAGAGCCGCTGACAAGATTCAGAAGTAGCGGTAATACCGCGCATGTGAAGGACTAAGCAGAGTGTTAGACGATTGGGAAGGGCATGCGGGTATAAAGGTACAAAAGTACCAACCTTGAACTGCATGTCGCAGTTACACCACTTGGCCAACCAGATCAGATTCTCGAATAAATCACCTAAAATCAAGTGGAATGAGAAGAAGCGATCGGCAATATACATGGGGAAAGGAGGGAGGAATGCGAGTTTTAAGGAAAGATAGAAATTGAACGGCGCTTTCCTAACTCAGCAACAAATGAGATGATCCAGGCACAATAATTTCAAAATCGCTCAGAGTAGCTATGAACGGCGAAATGTGGGGAAATACAGTCTGTTCTCAGTTGATTATACGCCTTCTAGTCATAAGTGGAGGCCTAGCATCAGCCAAGGGGGAAAATGTCGTACGAGGCTGGCGGCTTACTATGTAAAACGGGTGTGTCCTGCAACCGGACCCCCGGAGAACCGGGAAATGCGGGGGGGCAACCACAAATGTGGCAGTATATATGGAGTAATATTGGCTTGTATTGGTTAGGAGGACCGAAAGCTTGGTCTCCGTCGGCATCCTTCACGGCCAAGACCTGCCCGGGTTGGGACCGGCTCGTCCCAGATCGTCGTCATCGCGTGCAGAGAAGGTTGGGTGCGAGGGGGATTTTGTGGGGAAGTTGGTTCCATTCGTAAATTGTCCGACAAATCCCTTTTGAAATTGTTGAGTTATGGGGTAGGAGTATTAGAATTATTATTCTTTGTTGAACTTTAGAAGGGATGGTTCAAAGGATGGAAGGTTGAAGTCCCAAGGTTGGTGGGAGATATTGATGCCTCAGGTGTCTATTTATCAACACTCGTCTTCTCCATTTTAGGCGATAGCTGGGATATACCTAGGTATTAGGATATGCTTAAGTTATTTGACTTAATTTCATAGGTCATCTCGGATCATGTTTGTACCTGGTCCCTAGTGGATTGACCCTTCTCTGCACATGATCTTCAGTATTTACATTTTGGAACAAAATAGAAGGTTGAGCCTTGTCAAAGAGCCCAGGAATGGGGTCGAGGCGCGAGGCGGAACATCGTTTTGGATGTCACCTCAAATCAGCTGACAGCAATTCTGGCTCGATATTTTCCGCTGTCATTCATTCATTGCTATTCACACGGGCGTGTCCATGGTGCGGACACACGTGTCGTACTAACGCTTGGTCAAACAGGTTTGGACTCAAGGCGGGTCTTATCTGCCACGCCGGCGATTATCATGTTTATACTTCCTCGTCGTTCTCCTCCTCGGAAATTTCGCCAAGGGCACTAGGCGCAGCAGGCGATGACTCCCTCTCCTCTGGAACGGCGTTGCTTGACCTTGAGTGCACAGTGAGCGCTCTCTCACCCACGAATCTATCACCGGGCCAGTCCTTTTTGCACACGGGGCATTTCTCTGCTTGTTGCATGCGGAAGAAGTTGCGTATGCAATGGTCATGGAGCCGACCATTGCATCCATGGTCCTCGCAGCGTTGGCCCTAAAAGTATCTCGGTCAGGTCTGTTTCATACTAACTAGGGATCAAGTATACTTACCACGGTGATAATATCTTTGCAAGCAGCACAAAACTTGATCCGCTCTATAGGTCGGTCATCGATGTCGTTATACGTCAAGACCAACCAGCCCCGCAACTCCATCAGCGCTCGTGGTGTGAGGCTGAGATAGCCCTTCGGGCTCTTCTGCAACCAGCCCTCTTCAATCAAGTGGATAATCATGGTTTCTGCTTGGGTCATACGCAATGACTGTACTGCTGCGGTTTGGATTTGTGTTGAATCGTTGCTCGTAGATTGCCGTTCGCTAGACGGAGCCTTATGGAGTTGGACGGCTTGCATTTGTGAAGCTACCATTCCTTCACATACTCGTGTATTATTTGTGACAAACATGTAGTCAAGCAAGCGCTTGAGAAATGCAATCTCGTCCGGGGAATAAGTGGTCGCGAGTTGTGTCAAAGCGTCACTCGTGGTATTTACAAGCGCATACACTCGCTTTAGTGGTGCTGTTGAGCCATCTGGCTGAGCTGGCTGGAGGACTTGTGGCAGTGAGCTTCTGATTTCGAGGTCGAAAGGTGACACGGCGTTGTTGGCGGCCGAGATAAAGTTGGAGAATTGGTCTTCCCCGACCTCCTCGGGTTCAACTGTTCGCCCCTCTGCTCGATAATTTCAACGTCAGCAACTACCACCAGGCATGACACGGGGACTAAACAGGAGTCAAGTACCACATATTGTTAATATCGCAGCTAGAATGGGTTGCGCATCTTCAAAGGTCATGGATGAGCGTGCCATGAACGCCTGGAGAAAGGCACGATTGCTGTCGTCGTATTCGGACATATTTTCAATGATGACTTCTGGTCTGGGGTTTTCGGAGTTCGCAATATCATTCAGTTCGAGATCCTTTGTGCCAATGAAGCCCTGGCTTTGACGCGATTCCACGCGCTCGCGTGGCTGTAGATGAAAGAAAGATAAGAACGTCCGATAAGGAAGCTTAGTAAATTTGTTTATTCCTGAGGCATCTTATTTCCACCAACCTTGGAAAAAACGAAGAGAAAACCATGTAGGAAACACAGTTACTATTCCTAGTCAGATTGGATAAAGATCCAGGGAAAAGGACATTTGAACTTGGTTAGGATGACCTGAGCAAACAGGTATCAGACATCTCAACAACTAGTTATTTCATGCCTCGGGCACCCACCCTTGAACAGATTCAATTTACCTCAGGCCTCATGGAGGTAGGAACATACAGAGTCGGCTGGTGCAGTTTCTGCTATTTCGGTCCGTAGATTTATATAATCACGCTGTTGGTCCTATGTAAGTGGCAGGAGCTTCCACCATCGGAGTATATGCTCGAACTATGCTATAGTCTATAGATATACCTACATAGTTAAGTCGGACGATACTAGGGCTGGACACTCTTTTTCTAGAGCATAAGGTTGTATCTATGATTAACTACGTGGTAGATGGGATCATGGTCCTAATAGCCTAGACATTATAGCCCTAAATGTGCTGTCGAGGTCATCATGACTAGCATCAGCATGGGAAACGCGCTGGTAGGGATCAAGATGCAGGGCGGCAGTGCCTAGGCGAACCGCAAATCATTTAGCCAGGTGGTAAGCACCTAGAGGCATGCTCAGTCTGACTAGTCAAAAGGTATACATGGTCAGGTGCCGACCTGACCGACTATGTGGGTGATAGCACAAGTTTTGTGTCAAACGGGTATACCGTAGGAACATTCGGAGAGCCCGAAGATGGGACATCACTCTGGTGACTCAATATTACCAAGAGAGGCGACGAGATCATGAGCATGCACTCTTCATACGACGCGTCCGCCGTCAACCTCGGTCTCAAAGCCAAAACATCAAGCAACTTCCACGAGATCTACAGCTGCGGGCACGACCACTGCAAAGCCAATCGAATCCAGTTCCGACTTCTCGACCTCTGCTGGTACAATTGCAGGTGGTAGTGTTGGAGGTGTTGTAGGCGCCGGTGCTATTGGAGCCGGTCACCTTCTTATTTAGAAGAGGAAGTCACGCCAGCAAGTTGGATTGGGTGATTTAAGGGAGGTGCGATACAAATCTGTTCCAAAAGACCAGTCGGATCATCATTGCCGGGGAATGCAACAAGCTGCAGATGTTGAAGCAAGCGACCCGACCCACAAGATTGCAGAGGCTTCGGGAAGCATCCCTCCTCATAATGCGTCACAGGAAATCGGTTCCAATATCTTCGTTGCGGAGATACCATCGCCAGATGATGGAAAGAACCATTGATTGTAATAATGTGGTATACCAAAAAGAGACGTATCGAGTATGTACAATCCATGAGTTTATTATTCGATGCTTACAAGGCAACGTGCTTTATTTGCGTGTGATTTTGTGGAAATATTAGTAATTCGATAGTAATGCCCAGGTGAGGCCCAAGGGAATTGCAATTATCAGACAATGGCTTATGTGAATTTACTAGAAAGCGATTCTTCAATGCTGTGCCTTTGAATCAGCTTCTTTGACCGATATTACTCAGTGGGTGCTGGTCAACGTACCGGATTCGGCTTCAACTAAAATACACAAAGGGAATTACTGAGCAAGATTTGTACATGCAGTCTAGCTGTGAGTTTTATTGTTCGCGCAAGTCTGATATCATAACTGCAAATGCCAATCAACAAAGGTAAAGACCGAGACCCCATGCCCTAGATGCGCCGCTGCGCAAAGGAAAGTGGAATCGAACCACCGACTGATATCGCCGAACGCCAAAGGATCAAATGTAGTGAAACAACAATGAGAAAGAAAGTCAAGGGCGGCGGTACACCACTAGTATCTCCGCCGGGCGGGCTCGGGGCTAGGGCTTCGGCTGGCACTGCGGGGATCTCTGCCACGCTCCTTCAGCCACTTCTTGGTGCTGAGTCGGAGTTCGCGGTCAAGCTCGGGTGAAGGATCTTTGCGGTGAATGAAATTGCAGAAGCCCCCTCGTACACAGCCTTCACCGCTATTGAGACGACAACAGGCTTCTCGGAAATCCGTGACAGGTGATAACTCGCAGTATATGGGTCGCGCTGCGTACCAACGGGAGTTTAACGCATCACATGCCGCCTGCGCATCTTCTTCGTATTTGAATCGACCGTAAACATTGCCAATGAGATCTATTGTCGCGAGACCAGATGTTAGTAGAGAGTCAAATAATACAAAGAGAATACCACTTACGGTCGTTGTTGTTGTCGCAGATGACCAACTCTTCGATCTCGCCGTATTTGCACAGCTCACACCATACGTCCTCGTAGAAGGCGTCGAAGTGGTTCTGCATCTGGCTGGGGTTCATCTTGTTCTTGGGGTCGTAGGCCGGGTTCTGGTACATGTTCGGCATGAGGATGGTTTGCGAGTACGAAGGCTTGACATGCTTGCGAGAGCAGCGATCACCGTGTCGGCATGCGCCAATTTTGTAGTAGAAGGAACAATTGACCTTGTCCTGCTCGGTACCGAAGATGGATGCAAGGTAGTTGGCCATGGCTGCTCGCTGTCAAGCTCTGATTTTGGCTGGCAAGGATTTGAGGAAGGGTGAGATGAGAGGGTCGGTTCGCGGGAGACCACAGGCACAAATGAAAGAAGGGCAAAGTTGCTTTGAAAGCTGGGTGATATCTGATGCCTGAAGTTTCTGGAGAGCTCGAGTGGCGCGAATAACTGATGACTAAACCTGGGGAGCTGCCCGGTCGGATTATCTATTCTCCGAGGTACGGTGGGACCCCTTAAGTATTAGGCGATATTTTGTACCCTCGTGTACAGGGCGGTATATGAAGGTACAAAAATAGGGTCTAATACTTGGGAGGTCCCACTGTACATACCTACATGTATGTATGTAGTAAAGCTATTCTTCACGTTTTTTACCACATATATTGTATATTTCACGGCTAGTTATATTTTTCCTATTAGCTGTAGCACTAGGAAGGATGAAAAATATCTTAAGACTTGAAAAAGAACTTGATAATGTTGAAGATGTATTCTATAGAGCTCTCTGTAGGAATCTGTTACTATATTTTCGTAAATGAAGTCTCCTTCACTTGCCTAAACGTAGGTGTCTTCTCCTTTTCTGTATTCCAGTCTGAACAAGTCGGCTCGTCACTCATTATAGATTCATACATACATTAAAGGACTTTACCCAAGGTCGATGAACAACTTCGCCATCAGGGCTAATTACTAGGCGTCCACCGGTGTATAGTGGTTGCACCATAATATAGGGTAGTCAACTCCGAAGAGCAGCATAAACACTATAGGTAGGGATAGAGGAAATCGCCCGCCTTAGTAACAGGTGGTACCTCCTCACGTGAACACAGAATTCTTGAGAAGTAAACAGACATTTTCCTGGGGATAAGAATGTCTGTTTATTTTTCTAAGAAGTTCGGATTAACGTGAAGAGGGTGATTGGTATCACTTGCTACCAAGGCGGGCGATTTCCTCTATTCCTGCCTGTAGTGTTTATGCTGCTCTTTGGAGTTGACTACCCTATATTATGGTGCAACCATTATACACCGGTGGACGCCTAGTAATTAGCCCTGATGGGAATTTTTTCATCGACCTTGGTAAACATTCTCAATGTATGTATAATTATTTTCCATTTTCTGAGCATGGTGAGGTTGTTTTTGGGTTCTGCTCTTCTCTACACCCAGAAGATCCTTCCTTTATAGGTGGAAGTTTCGACAGCAGATATGGGTATTTTTGACTTGCTTTGTGGAATTGGAATTGTTGGCGACGGTGACGGCTTGCCTGCTTGTTTGGTTTTGGTTTCTTTCTGGACTTTCTAGCGGTGGGTGTAGAACGGGGCAGATATTGATTGGAGAAGGCAGTAAGTCAGAGGGCCATGGCTTTGCTTGGTCTCATTCGTTTTCGAAGCAGTGCGGACTGGGTATTCACTATCGTAAGTTAGATCAGATGTAGTAAGACTCAATTGTAGACTTGTGTACCCAATAGAATCATGAGCGAAGTCCGAGACGAAGAATGACAATTGTAATGAAAAATTGTGTCAAAAGAAAGAGAAAGAAAAGAAAAAGAAAGTGGATGAGAAGAAGGACAGAAATAGGAAGAAAGGTGAGCTAACATAACGAGTATAGGTGCTTCTGATAGAACCTGTGACAGTGTTCCGGATCTTGCCCTAGCGATCACATCAGGGCCTAATTGGTTTGGTCGGTTCCTCTGAGGGTGTTGGTTGCATAAGGGCTGGTGTTAACAACATCGGTCAGTCTTCGTGGCTGTCATTGATATTTGGGCCGATTAGCGCTGTCAAATGATATGTTTGTGGTGGAGTTCAAGCCCTAGCGGGTGGCTGCAGGGTCCCTCTGACGTGTTCAGTAACGTTTGCGTTCAGGCTTTCTAGTGCTAGGTGCAGAGCCGGGGCTAAATTGATTTGTGATGGACGTCAATTAGAGGTCTTTGGTTTATTCTCGTTCTTAGGCTGGACAGTGTGAGCTGGATATTTGCTACTATAAGTTAGATTAAGGGACGGATAAGACTAGACTTGCCTCTGCGTCCGTCGAGCGAGATAATAACAAAGAGCAAAAGAATGAAGTAAGACACAGGAGAAAGCATGAACCCAGCCAGCGAAAGATAGCCTGGGTCAGAATGATATTGCTAAAGTAGACCAAAACATCTGTAGGAAAAGGGAGGATGGTAGTTAAGTTTGTTTCACTGTAGTACCAGAAGAAGATTTTTATGGTCTTTGCCAGTGTGGTTGATGACGAGGCCTTTGAACCAATGTTATCAAAGTTGATGACATGAAGGTTGTAATATCTTCCAAGGTATAATTAAAATCGACTTATCCTTCATAGATAGCCACGCGTGTTCATGGGCAGACGC